AATTCTTGGCGCAATTCAACGATTCGAGACAACTCCATAATCACCATTCTTTTATCTAATTTTTTGTATTGAAAACCACACAGTTTTACAATACAGTGCAGTGAGTCTAAGCATTTGTAATTATAAAAATCTTCAGGATAATCTTTTAATTTATTGCGTATCATTTCCAACGTGGGCACCAAATTTTCTTTATAAAAGCCGTATATTATACGACGAATATCTTCCTGAAAACCCACGTCTATTCTTCTTAATTTTTGCCCTATGCGCTTTCTGTGGAAGGAATGTTTGACTACATCTCCCCTTTTTATAACCCGATAAATGGTAAACCGACTGATTTTTGTCAAGATACAAATTCTGTTTAAAATTTGATTTTGCGAGGAATCTGGATTTTCGTTTTTCAGACAATCATACATATTTAGGATTACTCTTTGGGTCTGTTCCGCTAAATCTTTATGAAAGAATTCTGCCTGCACAGGTTCATCAACCATCTCCTCGTGGCTTGGAGCATTTTCCAAAGGTCTCCAAAGAGCCATATTTAGGACACACAAGAACAATCAGCACAACAATTAAATCAACAAGTAAACTGAGCATTCAAAAGTCAAAAACACACAAACTAATAAAATCTATGAAAAAACACGGACAGACTAAAGAAAACACGTTTATTCACCGCTACACGGCACTGGCTAAACTGTTTCAATTTTCAGTAGCCACCTGCACTTGTTCCGAGCTCTGAAATACACGCTTTCTCATTGGCTATGTCCACGCATAGGCGTGCTTTACTCCACGTGGACCGGTGAAACTGCCTTTGATCTCTTATACGGGGGGGGGATATTTGCTGCGAAATTTGGCGATTTTTGCAGCAACAGAGCGTGTTAAATATAGATATATAAAACGCACCCGGTATTTCACAGTGTTTCAAGTGACTTCAGATAAAGTATACACTAATATTTCAAAATCATAAATTTAGATAATATATTGACACACAAAAAATACGGTTAATTTTTAAAGTCTAAAAGTCATTCCCTCATCTCGTCCCTGGCTCCGAAATTAATAATCAAAAACGATACGTACAAAAAGAACTGTACCAAAGTTAGTACCAAAATGCTGAAAGTTAGAGGTGATGTTAATTTCTTAGAGAAGGATGGAAATACGAGAATGTGTCTAGACTATCTAAGCTCTCTAAAGTACTATACAAATCTCAATACATCGATTAATAAATTAACTTATGCTTTTCATTGAAATCCAGTATCAAATTATTGTAAAAATCATCGCCCCATCCTATCAGTCATTCATTCATTTCATAGTTTTTTAAAACTCATTTTTCTACATGTTATACACAAAAATATGGAGGACCTTCATTGTCAATGAACATCACTATAGTAAAACTTTATATTTCTGCAAAAAAATGATATATTTTCATTAATTTTTTTTTTAAGAAATGCAAAATGAAATTTCTAAATTTGTTGAGAAATACCCATATATTTGTTGGACACTAATCTTCCCTTTCCAGGTTTATGGTGTTTCCGGCCTTCGAGTGATCGACGCTTCAATCATGCCGTTCGTGACAAATGGAAACATCAACGCCCCAGTGCTGATGATTGGAGAAAAAGGAGCGGACATGATCAAAGCCTACTGGCTCAGTCCGCACTCTGGAAGAAGGAAAAAACGAGATGTCGTACCGAAGTTTAACGCCAAATTGACGCCCGAGAATATGAACTGTACTAGAGAGGACGATTGATAGTGATAGTATCTTTTTAGGTGAATTATGAATCGATGCCAAAAATTAATCTAGTGCAAAAAAGATGTGTGTGTAACAGTGGCGTAGCTTGCTCCTCAGGGGCCGCAATATCAACATTTGTAAGGGCGAATCCGAAATGGAGAATAGATTATACTGAAGAATAATATGAATTGTTACGTATTGACCACGAGCCTCGGCAGGGGGAATAGGGACATTTTAGAAATTCAGATAAATGTTTTTTGCGTTGCGATGTTTACAACACGTAAATCCATGTGGGGTCATAGTAGGTAATGCTATTTAATTTTCAACATCGTTTGAATGGCAGCAGTTTTATAAGTCGAAATTCAAGTACCTTCAAGATCGTCCCAAAGTTTGTTTTTGTTCGCTTGAAAACTTCTGAATATTTTAAATATTTGTGAATAGGAGAAAATTTTATAAAATTTAAATGTTGCTTTCAGCGTTTCTGCTTGTTTCAGTTTCGGTTATATTTAAAAACATTATGGAGCTCAAACATCTTGTTTCTTTAGCAAAAGCCTTATCTTGACTCCTGGAAAATTTGAAAATAGGAATAGGTGAATAGTTGCGAAGTACTGAGTCAATCTACTTGGCACCAGTTTAACGATATTTAACCATCCATAGCGGAAAATGTTTGTAGTGTTTCGAAATTTTCAACCTCCGAAGACAGTACCATGCTTGTTAGTCAAAGGTGCCTCGTAGAAGTCCTAAAGTAGGGTAAGGTTGCCCATACTGAACCACTTTTCCTAAAAATCTCTCTAGCATAGGGAAAGTTATTTAAATAATAAATCCAGTTGATCTAAAGTATACTTTGGATATTTGAGAACACATAGGTATGTATAAATACTATTTAAAATAATGAACTATATGACTAATTAATTAAAAACAAAACAATTGCACATGGTTAATTTTGGGAAACGTGTTGCCCATATTGAACCCCAGCTATCCTAAATTCAACCTACACATTATTTACAAAGATTAAGCAGTAGCAACAAAATAAAAAATAACTTCATTTCTGTATTATCCGCTACAGATGTAGAGCAGGCACTTGGTACAACCTGTTGAATTTTTAGTATGGATAGAGGGATGTCGTCATCATCACTACTTTCCTGATTTCCAAGTCTAGAAGCTTCTTTTGTCGGATTTACACAAGGTCTAAACACTTCAGATGCTACGAAATGGGAGTCATTGAACACATGCCTATTCTGCTTGTTTCAGTTTAGGTTATATTCAAAAACATTATGGAGCTCAAACATCTTGCTTCTTTAGCAAAAGCCTTATCTTGACTCCTGGAAAATTTGAAAATAGGAATAGATGAATAATTGCAAAGTACTGAGTCAATCTACTTGGCAACAATTTTTCCGATATTTAACCATCCATAGCGGAAGATGTTTGTAGTGTTTCGAAATTTTCAACCTCCGAAGACAGTACCATGCTTGTTAGTCAAAGGTGCCTCGTAGAAGTCCTAAAGTAGGGTAAAGTTGCCCATACTGAACCACTTTTCCTAAAAATCTCTCTAGCATAGGGAAAGTTATTTAAATAATAAATCCAGTTGATCTAAAGTATACTTTGGATATTTGAGAACACATAGGTATGTATAAATACTATTTAAAATAATGAACTATATGACTAATTAATTAAAAACAAAACAATTGCACATGGTTCATTTTGGGACACGTGTTGCCCATATTGAACCCCAGGTATCCTAAATTCAACCTACACAGTATTTACAAAGATTAAGCAGTAGCAACAAAATAAAAACTAACTTCATTTCTGTATTATCCGCTACAGATGTAGATGTAGATCACTACTTTCCTGATTTCCAAGTCTAGAAGCTTCTTTTGTCGGATTTACACTAGGTCTAAGCACTTCAGATGCTACGAAATGGGAGTCATTGAACACATGCCTATTCTGCTTGTTTCAGTTTAGGTTATAATCAAAAACATTATGGAGCTCAAACATTTTGCTTCTTTATCAAAAGCCTTATCTTGACTCTTGGAAAATTTGAAAATAGGAATAGGTGAATAGTTGCGAAGTACTGAGTCAATCTACTTGGCACCAATTTAACGGTATTTAACCATCCATAGCGGAAAATGTTTGTAGTGTTTCGAAATTTTCAATCACCGAAGACAGTACCATGCTTGTTAGTCAAAGGCGCCTCGTAGAAGTCCTAAAGTAGGGTAAGGTTGCCCGTACTGAACCACTTTTCCTAAAAATCTCTCTAGCATAGGGAAAGTTATTTAAATAATAAATCCAGTTGATCTAAAGTATACTTTGGATATTTGAGAACACATAGGTATGTATAAATACTATTTAAAATAATGAACTATATGACTAATTAATTAAAAACAAAACAATTGCACATGGTTCATTTTGGGACACGTGTTGCCCATATTGAACCCCAGGTATCCTAAATTCAACCTACACAGTATTTACAAAGATTAAGCAGTAGCAACAAAATAAAAACTAACTTCATTTCTGTATTATCCGCTACAGATGTAGAGCAGGCACTTGGTACAACCTGTTGAATTTTTAGTATGGATAGAGGGATGTCGTCATCATCACTACTTTCCTGAATTCCAAGTCTAGAAGCTTCTTTTGTCGGATTTACACTAGGTCTAAGCACTTCAGATGCTACGAAATGGGAGTCATTGAACACATGCCTATTCTGCTTGTTTCAGTTTAGGTTATAATCAAAAACATTATGGAGCTCAAACATTTTGCTTCTTTATCAAAAGCCTTATCTTGACTCTTGGAAAATTTGAAAATAGGAATAGGTGAATAGTTGCGAAGTACTGAGTCAATCTACTTGGCACCAATTTAACGGTATTTAACCATCCATAGCGGAAAATGTTTGTAGTGTTTCGAAATTTTCAATCACCGAAGACAGTACCATGCTTGTTAGTCAAAGGCGCCTCGTAGAAGTCCTAAAGTAGGGTAAGGTTGCCCGTACTGAACCACTTTTCCTAAAAATCTCTCTAGCATAGGGAAAGTTATTTAAATAATAAATCCAGTTGATCTAAAGTATACTTTGGATATTTGAGAACACATAGGTATGTATAAATACTATTTAAAATAATGAACTATATGACTAATTAATTAAAAATAAAACAATTGCACATGGTTCATTTTGGGACACGTGTTACCCATATTAAACCCCAGCTATCCTAAATTCAACCTACACATTATTTACAAAGATTAAGCAGTAGCAACAAATTGAAAAATAACTTCATTTCTGTATTATCCGCTACAGATGTAGAGCAGGCAGTTGTACAACCTGTTGAATTTTTAGTATGGATAGAGGGATGTCGTCATCATCACTACTTTCCTGATTTCCAAGTCTAGAAGCTTCTTTTGTCCGATTTACACTAGGTCTAAGCACTTCAGATGCTACGAAATAGGAGTCATTGACAGGCCAAACACCAGATGATCTAAACGCATTTATTGCAGTCTCAATGGTCGCTGCTTTTCCATCTGCTGCATTTAAGAGCTCCGCCACTTGATATTGCGCCACTGCGCGTCCAGGATTACTCCTCAACCATCTCTCTGAAGCCTGTGTACAGTTTGTCTTCAATGGTTTAAAAAAAGCCTTATCTAAAGGTTGTAAGCAGTGCGTCGTATGTCCAGGCAATTGCAGCAAAACCACTCGATTCTCCCTTGCTAAAAGAAGAGCTGCAAGGGTTTTTACAATGAGTCGTGTGACCATCCATAAGAAGTAACACTTTATTTTCTTTGCGATTGATCCGACAGCTTTTGAACCTTTCCTGGCCACAATTTTCTGACATTTCTTAGCTACAGTCGAGAAACCAGACTCGTCCACATTAAAGATGGTGGTAGCATTGATTTTGTATTTATCACATATTCCTTCGAGTAAATAAAAAAATGCATAACATTTTCTCTGTTAAATCCTTTTATCCTATTAATTGAAGTAGACTCAGGCTGACGCAGCGCTAATTGTGGGTGCCTCTTCATAAAACGGTAGTACCGTTTCTTTCCTGCTGTTTTGACCTCTCTATTGAACTGGTGAGGAAGCCTATTTTTTGAGCTAAATCGAATGCAAGTTTTCTGATATCACGTATTGTTAAACCGAACAAGCAGTTTGCAAACTGTGTTATGCGCTCTCTTTGAGCCTTTGACTATTTTATTTGTATTTCTTACAAGACGAAGTAGTGTAGATTTGGAAATACCATAATCTCGGCTGCATTGGTTTAGTCCTTTTTCACCATTATTGTATGCTTTTAAAGCTTTTTCCATATGATCTGCTGACCATGTTCCATAATTTCCACGTTTTGCCATCTAAAAATAAATAATAAGTAAGTATTTTACGCGAATACCAGAAATCTCTCCACTACAGCTATCTAAAACACAATAAGCAATTTGGAGGATGTATAGTTCAATTTTGGACACTGTTAATGCTTCAATATTGGCAACCAGCATAACATTTAAAGCATAACCTCAAACTAAAAAATTAAAATGGTTGTAAAATATGTCAATTACTCTAAAAGATACCTTAATTGACATGTTATTTACTACTATTATCAAAGTTGCTCTCACCTTGCTTGGAAGTTTTCAGTTACCTTAGCGAAGGGTACCAGAAATTAGTACCCAGAATAATCGGGTCTATGGGCGCAATTTTACTCCGAATATTGCGCTTTAGGTCTTGAATTGTCCGGGGACCATTCGCATACCTTTCAAAAATCTCCAAAGAAAATAGTCAAGAGGTGTTAAATCACACGATCTGCGGGGCCAACTGACATCTGAATTTCGTGAAATTATGCGGTCTGGAAATTTCGCGTGCAATAAGGCGATTGTTTGGCGCGATGTGCGAGCCGTTGCTCCGTCTTGATGAAACCAAAGATCGTCGGCACCAATACGATCCAATTGTGGCCACAAAAAGTCTGTTAACGTGCCGCGATAACGTTCCCCGTTGACGGGGCATCTTCAAAGAAGAATGGTCCAACGATGCCACCAGCCCATAATCCGCACCAAACGGTCCCTTTTTCAGAATGGAGAGGTTGTTCATGATATTGGTGTGGATTTTCAGCCCCCCAGAATCTGCAGTTTTCCTTATTTACGTACCCATTGAGGTGAAAACGAGCCTCATCAGAAAAGAGCACTTTGGCCGAAAATCCGTCTTCTCTTTCCAGCATTCAATCAACAAAAACACGCCGCTGTTGATGGTCTGCCGGCTTGAATTCTTGTGTTAGTTGGATTTTGTATGGATGGAGGTGTAAATCAATGTGTAAAATCCGGCGTAAAGTGGTCTCACTAATTCCCAATTGTTGCGAACGGTGCCTAGTCGAGGCGGTTGGATCTTCTCGTACACTTTCACTCACAGCGGCTATGTTTTCATGAGTACGAGCTGGACGAGCATGTCGGTATGGTCCACGACCTTCAGCTGAACCAGTTTCCTCAAAACGATTGACAATCCAACGAATTCCATGTCGACCAAAACTAGTGCGAACTTTGCGAAAAGTATTTTTCATATTTCGACCGTTTTCGTAATAAGTTTGGATAATCAAAATGTGTTGTTGTGTTGTAAACGAATCCATGACTATAAAAGGCATACCTTTGACAGTTCATTTATGCATACCACATGACTTTCGACTCACATGGTAACACATAAACTTATATATATATATATAACCTGGGTAAGTTTCTCACAGATCAGTGTAGACCAAATTGACATCAGGAGACTGATTCTAAATGAGTTGAAATTGAATCGCTATAATTTTAAAACTGCTATGTTAATTTGAATATAGAAGATCGATATAATCAGTTTTCAAAGTATCATAGCGAATCTAGTATATGAATGAATATCGACGGTAGAATCTCATTTAGCACCAGGCCCGTGGTTCCTATAGGAGTTGTATTCTGCCCCAGCATGAATCAAATAAAGAAGAAAAAAGTAGAAACGCTCAAACCGAAATTATTTGTCTGACGAGTGTGTAATGAAAGGGTAGCATGTTGATGTTGATTGACACTTTTCCAATATTTTTAGTTTGAAAAGTAGTGGATATCTATGAATCGCACTATCCATATTTCTGCTCAAAATGCCTCCTCCATTTTGCTGTGGAAACAGCATCGCACCGCTCAAACAAAATATCTTAGTAATATGTTTGTAGTGTCGCTAGTTTATTGTAAAATATTCGTTATTTGTTATTCAAACTTTGTTGTTGTTATGTGTACTGTTAGGTTAGGATTGAACGAAGGTGTTTGTAGTATTTTTTTGAACGATTTTGCCATTTTGTAACTTATTTTTGGTTTTTGTATAATATTACTCTTTCATGTGTCTAATACCTATGGTGTAAATATTTGGTGTAAATAATAATTTTTATACGTTGTTTTTTAAATAAAATTATATGATTCCGACGTTGTTCTTACCTCTGGATGTTTTTCGTCAGGCCTTATAAACATTACAAAGTCCGGATAGTTTCAAAGGCATGTCTTGAACACGAAACATTTTCAAGTTGAAATATACTAAGTGACATATAAATCCGAACACCCAGTTTAAATGGTTTTATTTTAATAAAAGTTGGAGAATGTATTTATCTTACTGTAAATAACAAGTGAACAAATTTTCAGCCTTATCAGTTGGACATTCCGGTTTTTATACTGCTTTTTTTAATTCACTAACGCTCTAAAAATGAATATTTCAGCCGCAGTAAAGAATCAACGTTGGCGGATTTTGGTTCTTGACATCCTTTACGATCGGTTACGGAGACCTGTACGATTTCGTCAACTTAGTGAGTTTCATAGGGGCCGTATAGTGGGACTTCGGGAAGCTGGACTTTCTTTTCGGGCAATTGCAGTTAGAGTGCAAAGAAGTGTACACACTGTGGTCAGGTGTTGTCAGGCATGGCTTCGAGAAGGCCGTACGCAACGAGCAAGGGGCACTGGACACCGCCGTAGAACAACAGACCGTGAAGATCGCCGCCTAAGATTATTGGCCTTAAGGGACCGTTTCTCCACTACCAGGTCCATTGCAAATGGATGGTTTGCAGAACACGGAAGACCTATTGGCATGCGAAGTGTTTACCGACGAATGAGAAGTTTTGGCTTGTTTTCATACCGGCCACACTGGGTCCTCCCTTTAACTCGAGAACACCGACGTAATCGCCTTGAGTGGTGCAGACAACGGTCACTCTGGGATCAGGAATGGAACAGTATTGTCTTTAGTGACGAGTCCCGATTTTGTTTAGGCATGCACGATGGTCATGCCAGGGTTAGAAGGCGACGTGGTGAAAGGAGGATTCCACAGTTTTTTGTTGAAAGACATGTTCATCACACTGTTGGAGTTATGGTTTTGGGTGCTATAGCTTATGGTTCCAGGTCACCTTTAATCTTCATCAGAGGTAACATGAACGCGCAGCGTTATATCCACGAAGTTCTAGAACCCCATCTTTTACCCTATCTTGACACCCTGGCAGATCCAACTTTCCAACAAGATAATGCCCGACCACATGTTGCAAGAGTCACAATAGACTTCTTTCAACATAATGATGTCACATTGTTACCATGGCCACCAAGATCTCCCGACTTATCCCCAATTGAGCACGTGTGGGATATGATGGGTAGGAGATTGCTCAATTTGCAACGTCCTCCTCAGACTCTAACTATTAAGCTGTTTCGCCTCAGAAAATCGTTGGTAAGCCCTCCTAAGACTGGTAGACCGCGAACAACCACACCTAGGATTGATAGGAAAATTAGAACACTTGCTCTCAAAAATCCATTTACTACTGCTGCCGACATAAAAGCTCAACTTGAAAAAGTAAATATTGGTGTCCACACTGTTCGAAGACGTTTAAGTGAGAGAGTGATTTACCAGCAAGGAGACCATCTAAAAAACCCTTTATTGCCAAGAAAAATCGCCCGTTTCAGTTTAATTGCCATCATTTGGACTGGTCAGAAACAAAGGTGGAATTCTGTAGTATTTTCGGATGAAAGTAAATTTAATTTAATTTCATCGGATAGCATTTTATGGGTAAGACGTCCTAAAAACAAGCGATTTGATCCTAAGTTCATTTTGGGCACAATCAAACACGGAGGCGGGATGGTTCAAGCATGAGGTTGCTTCTGTGGTCTTCAAATGGGAACCATCGTCAAAATTGAAGGAATTATGGACCCGTACAAATACTTGGAAATATTAACTGATACCATGCTACCTTACGCAGAAGAAAACATGCCTCTACGCTGGCTGTTCCAAGCACACACCGAAAATAATAAAAATATTTTTTGCAGATCACAATATAAATGTCATTAAGTGGCCAGAGTCCAGACCTTAACCCCATAGAGAACCTATGGGATTTAGTTGAAAATTCGGACTGAACGTCCAGAAAACTTCAAATATAGTGCCGAACTATTTGAAACAATCGAAGTCGCCTAGAAATCTATTCCAAAAGAAATAATAGATAGCCTAATTGGTTCTATGAGAAAAAGATGTCTAGCAGTTATCAAAAATAAATGTTATGCAACCAAGTATTAGCTTCTTTGTATACGACAATTGCTTTGTATATTATGTTTCTCTATTTTTGCTCGCTGTATTTTCTAATAATAACTGTTAGCTTAGTTTTATTGAAGCAGAAATTTTATTTTCATGTTGGCTTTGAATTACATAGTACATTAAGTTATAATAAAACATAAGTGTTTAGATTAATTTAATAGTTTACTAAAATCTTAAAAAAATTAAAATGTTTCTCCACTTTTGCTCGGTACTGTATGTCCAGTCTCTCAGCATCACGTATGAACCAAAAAGAAAAAATTGTACACATACTAATTGATCACTGGACAACAAATTTTAGTTTTTTAATTGTATCTTGTGGGAAAAGTGCACTTCTTTGATAATTTTGGGGCGCTGACTCCAAAAATGACAATGAAATAAAAAATTAGTTGCGGTTTAGAAAAAAACTTTTTATTTTTAAGGATATATTAAAAAAAGTAACAAGATTCATATACTTATAAGAATCACTATATGCGCTGTCTTTTTGCTGTTCTTTTATGGCTCGTTTCTGGAGCATCTCTACCAAGAGTCCAACAGTAGTCTGCAAGCATGGACGGATTCCACTTTCCCTGGTACCTTTTTTCCATTGTTGAAATATCCTGATGAAATCGTTCGCCGTGCTCATCACTTACGGCTCCGCAATTGTCAGGAAAAAAGTCCAGGTGTGAGTGTAGGAAATGTATCTTAAGAGACATAGTATTACAGCCCATCTTTTGATACGATGACAGCATATTTTTGACAAGGGTTTTATAGTTGTTAGCTTTTCTATTTCCCAAGAAATTAGTGACCACCAGAC